CCCCCCCCACATCCTCCATTTCAACGTCATTCTCGCTGAAGATGTAGGTGTTATTATTTCGACTCTATGATTTTTCTCTTGCCTTTTATAAATCACCTTTTTCTTTGGAATTTTGTAAAACCATAAGGCTTGTGTAGTACGGTGGGGTCCTTGTTAATGCCAAGGTTCGGCGTTATTGTCACGCAATGTCCAGAGTCGTTCCATTATCATTATAATAGGGTGAGATGTCATGAAACCCACCAATACAAACACAAGGTATATATCTAAATTAAGGAAAATACCTAACCTAACCAGTATCGTATCGGGCAACTGACAGCCATCAGACTTTGATAATGTCGTTTATTATCGTCTATACATCACAAGATAGTTTATACGTATTTATTCGTGGTCCGTCGTGGCATCGTCTTAATATAGATTTATACAATTTTTATGGCTCACGTTGTGACAAAATGGCCATTGGTACCAAAATATTATTAAAGCTTCCTATCGGTGGTATGTTTTTAAACGTTACTATTCGATTTTTCGTTGAATTGTTTTACCATGTAGAGGTAAATCCGATAAAGCCATTTAATTGTCAGACTTTATCACTTGGTATTTTTTTTTCTCTTACACAATTTTTTTAATTTGATTACAAAAGCTTTCACGATATTGTATTTTGATGAAAAAACACATTAACTATAATCTAAAATTACTATTTTTCTCGGAGTTATGCACAAAATCTCTTATATATAATATGTCTTCATGCCCAAATTGTACATTATACGCACGATACTCAATCAAAATACAACTTTGCAAGTTAATAGGTAGGTACACTCAGTCTTATGGCATGAACATTATTGTGCCTACATTATACAGCTATATATTTTACCTTCTATGAATAGTAATGTAGTACATGGGCATTTTTCCTTTAATATTTTACTATTAATATTTATATTCTTACCTACTGAAAAAAAAAACACTTGGGTACATCGTATTACTTTTTTGGTACTAAGAAAAATAAATTACCCACATATGGTTTATGAAAAATATTATTCTGTGGGCAAGTACATCCCTACGTCATACATAATATATTAAATATTAAAATAACGTATAAAGAGATGATGTAGAGTTCAATTATTTTAAGTAAGAGTAAGTTATGACTTACGACTCTTGTATTAAACTCTTTTTAAGTAGGTCAAAGAACAAAGTAACTTACGAAGAAATGTTGTAATTAGCAACTACAAATTAATGTAATTGAGCGATGTTTTTTTTTTATAGAAATTTCTATGAAAGTTTACTGACACGTCCGCTTTCATTTGTTATAAAAATAAGTAAATAAAAAAGTACATAATAAGTAAATGTCACTTTTGCCCTAAAGGCCTATAAACACCCATTCAAATAACGATCGTATATAATAATAATGTGAAATAATAATAATAACTAAATTTTTATTTCTAGACACGTTTTATGTCGCTAACCTATTTAACTTTGTGAGGACAATCGATAAAACCCTATAACAATAATATCCTGCAAAGTGACAAAAGATTTTTTACACATAAAACATCAATTCTGTCTTAAGAAACAACTATTTTGTAAACTATAAATGGTCGTTGATTGGTTTCCCAATTGACTATATAAATTTATATATGTATATTATTTTTCTCCCAACTTTCCCATCTTCATAAATCTTTTATCTTGAATATCTCCAACTTCAAATAAGTATTTTTCGACTTAAAAATCGATCACAATATGTTAGTAGTTTTCCACCTCCCAGTCATTGAGCACAAGTTGAAGATTTATCAATTGTTTTGTGAATTTTTAAATATTAGTTTAATAATATTCGTGTATCGGGCAAATTATCTATAGGCAACATATTAATGGATTTTACTATATTTTCGTAGTTGTAGGCGTAATATTCTCTCATTATGATTGCGTACATCGATGTGATTTATTTACATTGTAACGATGTTATGATTTTTCACCAATTTAAAATTAATTGGATTGGCTGATGATTAGGCCGACACGCAAAAAAAAAATGTTTACTCAGTTTGAATGGAAAATGTTTTAAATAATAATATATCAACACTACACTGCGTTCATGTTGGTAGGTAGCGAGTAATGGGAAAAATAATTGTGATCGACATAATGATTATTGATTAATAAAAACTCACATACTCACATATTTTTTGCTCACATCAGTATACTCCAGTATACAATATATAGTGACTGTACATGTTTTTTTTTATGTTACCTCTCTGTGCGTTGCGTACTTATATAAACTAACATACATACATACATAATATATATATATTGTAACATGAAATTTTTCAGTAAAATCAAACAAGTATTTTTTGGATTTTGGACAATATAGAAAATACATTATTATGGGTAAATTCGTGTGCATATTATAATACTGTTGCTGCAGGATATATTATATTCTGATCGTATGTTGTTGTTTTTTTGTGCTTGCTTAAAGGAATGAGTTAAAAGAAAAATGATAGATCATCATAAAATATTCTATAAGACGACTACGCACACCCACTCTTTGAAGCTTCCTAACCTATTCAAAACAGTCACATGCCGTTTTCACCGACATCAGCGGATCGCTCGAGGAACATTTACTGATTAATGTACACGGCGAATGATACCTTAGACACGACATCTCTCTCTCTCTCTAAATCTTAACACATAGGTATTTTTTTTACTTTTGTACAGTTTCTGTACCTACCGAGAATTCATTATATTATTCAATTTTTATACTCTTTACTATCCGTGACAATATATGTTCTTAAATCGATCAAATAAAAAGTAATTTAATCTATTAAAACATTTATCGAAATTTATTAATCTATTATATTGTGTAAGGATAGGTTAGTTCACAGATCTGAATATGTATTTAATTTAATTATCAATCATTACATCGAGATATTATACAACCGTCGAGGTTTTAAAAATATAATTGAAAATATAATATTAAGTACCTACCTACGTTTGTACTATATCAACTATATTAGGTACCTGTGTACACTTCTATATTTCATGTACAAAATTAAAAATTATATTGTCTGTAATACAGTTAACAGTTATAATTGGTTATTAATTTGTTATACAATTGAAAAACTGATTATATTAACTGGGCATTAAGTTTATGGAATTATAACTCAAATAATTCTCTCAAAAATGAAAGTTCTACCTTTAAAAGAACATTGATTTAGGATACGTACAATTTACTTGTTTAATAGCACGAATACAATGTGATTAACTAAGTAAGCTTGGATACCCAAACCTGCGGATTACTATTCTTTCCATTAATAATGAATTTATTCATAAATGTTTTATACGTACGTATATCTTTCAAATTCCTGGTAGGTACAAGATTTTTATTTTTATCTATAAGGGTTTACATTTAAATATTTATGAAAACTGTATAATATTATAATATAGGTTTTGGTACTGCAGGTATATATCTTTTTATTAATATCTATGGTCTATGTGTTAAAGTGATTTTTACAGATCTGGTGTTATGTAAAAATAAAAACAGAAAATTCTAATATGATGTAGATGCCTATTTTAATCATTGTATTGCGAAAAATTAGGAAACACATTTGCTGTACGATACAGGTTTTTTAGCACAGTTTAGGCTAAGTTCAAGGCTGTTTACCTTTTATGATTATAAATCGTAGTGGCCTCTTGTTGTTAAACGATATAATATGTATTATATATATATATTATATACCTAATATATTTAACTTTATTTATTTACTTTTTTTAATAAAAATACTAGATTTATTTCTATACAATACGGGGTATAAATCACACGCAACCCACTTCCCACCACTCCGTTTGGCCGGTGCCTTTTTCTAAAGGCGCAAGAAAAGCCCCAACACGCAGACCTCTATATATCCCACGAGCATAATAATATAACACTGCTTTCGGAGTAGGTATATTATAAAAGTAACCGTCCAACCACGTGCGCCTGCTGTAGTAATACGCGGGCACAAAATATTGTGACAATATTAATCAGTAATCAATGATCACGCAACCTGTGTATACACTTTGTTGCAGCCGCCCCATCGTTGAACCTAAAGAATGTAAAAAAACAATGTAAATATTATTATACTAAACATTATACCTATCATATATTACTGATATTAAGTATTAACTTATGAGCTTATACTGCCGTATCATAGAACGGTGTGTGAATAACCCCTTTGTATAAATAGCTTAAAATTAATCCAAATATTTTGAAAAGTTCATCATGTACCTGCATGTATAAAATAATAATATACCATCGCGTAATGGTGAAAAGTTCCCTCTAATTATTGAGTCACAGCAAAGAAACTAAAATAGGTAGATATATTTTGTTTGAAATATTCAATTAGGTATCTAACAAATTTAAACTTGAAATATCTATAAAAAAATTCTGTGCTTATGTATTTAATATTCTTTGATTGCAATAAGAACAATTTATGAGGAACCTTGTATTTTATTTTCAAACCTTAGTCATTAAGATCGATAATCTTAAAAACGTATAGGTGACTACAAAATAGTTTTCAAATTATCATGAAAACTAAATTAATAAAGAGTTATGGGCGAAAAGTAAGAACGGACGTCGAACGCGATACAGCCTATATTATGTATGATATAATATACAACCAATCTGAACCTATAAATATACGTATATATCTATGTTCACTTACAATATTTTATGCCATATAATTAGTGTATTCGATTAATGTAATTATCATCTTGTATGAAGTATAAATACGTATTGCGTGTATATTATATTATATAGATAGTTTTTCGTGTACGTACTCTTGTTCTTGTAAAGATATCGTCCCATTCCGACAGCGTTGGAACCTAAAATGTGATTAAACACGTGTGCACCTTTCGTTTGGTACATTATGAAAGCCTTGGCTTGTAAATATTATATTATAAGTTACACCAATACCGGCTGTACTACCACCCCTACCGTTGCGTATATCATAATTATTGACGTTTCGCTTTTCTTTGTGTTTCAGATTAATTTCAACCAGAGGAAACCGCCGTGCACTCGATACATGTTTAAGAAAATGTAATTGGTAAGTTTTCTCTCCTCTTGTCTTACTCTTATATTTTTCTCATTATGCAACCGATTCGCCAAACTAGAAATCCTTAACAAAATGATATATTGTATCCCTCTGCTCACGAAGTGCAGTGCTGTCGACTAATTATTGTATAAATCTTTTGATTACATAATAAGAGGATTTATTTTAACAAGAATAGTTCCATTTGTTAAATTTAATGGCCATGTAATATTTGCGAGCATAACGATTAGAAAAAAAAGTTTAATAAAAACTAAATCTCAAAAAGCATACTTTTGATGAACCACGGGGTATATACCTTCAAAGTTTGCTTTACAAGCAAGGATCCGAAAACTGAAATTTTTGAAGTACTAACGAAATTGCATTGTTTTTTTATCAGTCAAAATTATTGTTATAAAAAAAACGAAAGCAGCAGATGATCAACCAAGCGAAAACAGGGTTTTTTAAAAATTGCTTTTGATCTTTATTTTTAATCTATATTATAATTCCTATTGAAACATTATTTGAAATACTTATAATTGTACCTATACCTATACTAAAAATTAAAATGCACAAAAAATAAAAAGTATTGTTGTCATCGTCGTGGTGGTATTATCTTTTTCGACAATCAACAATAATTGATAAATTTACAGATAAAATAGACAAATGTTTTTTTATATTTTTGTAGTAATAGTTATAATAGGAATACCTACATATGATAAAAAAATTTAACTCATCCCTTAAGTATTACTCCGTTAAAATATATTATGTTATCTGTAAATATAAAGTTAAATATTATTCCGAGAATAAGTAGTCAAATTCAAAAGCTGTGACCCGTGGGAAAATGTATAGTTTGTACAGCTTGATCACATCCCGGGAATCCTCTCCTCTTTTTAGTGCGTCAATGAAAGCCAAACATAGTCTTTACTTTATCACAAATTAGAAAATGTTTTTAAAAATAATGTACATTTTATATAAGGCGTGGTTGTTGGAAGAAAATTATTGACCAAATATTTTTTTCCCTTCTGTATTAAATCCACAGGTTATAGTGGCGTACATTTCTCTAAAGTAGTTTCGTAAAACTTGTTAATATTATTGTGAACCGAGTGGGACACCTATTAAACCGTGCAAAATTGATCGCAAGGTTACGTGACAAACGATGAAAAACAATTTTCAGCGCCTGTTTTGTTTTATGATATTGACCTTTGTCATTATATGGGACCAAATAAGAAATATGTTTGCAAAATTGTTTTATTCACATAACTCTCTTTACCACTTAAATATAATAGCAAAGTGCGTGAGTATTTTGTTTTTATTTTTACCTTTTGGTATTAAATATATATATATATATATGGTAATAACTATAATATCAACGCAATTAGCACTTGAGACTAATATTTCTAAGTGTATACCTACCTACAAGTCGTAAATCTTAATTTTATATTTTAAACAAATAAACATATTTGAAACAAAATTATCAATTATGTAGAGGTAAGAATATGCCTATATGATAAATTATAATTATTTTTGATAATCATGAAGAAATGAAAATACTAAAATATTATAAGCTACAGAAATATTATGCAAATAAATTAATTTAAATAGGTAGTACAGTATGAATGTAAAATAAACAAAAACCAATGGAATAACCATCGTCATACTCATAATCAATGATTTTATTAATTTGTTTTTAATGAGTAAAAATAATATTTCAATCGTTCGTTTTGTTTCAAAAGGTTTCAATCAGTTATTGCACAGAGAGTTTGCTTATGATGAACATCGTAAAAGACACTTTTAACAAACGTACTGTATTTACGGTTTAATGTGTATAATGATTATGCGGATTTCTGTATAAATGTATGATTACAGTTCCTGTTTGACTCGTGTAAAAATAAGTACCTAGAACACATTTCATTATTTATTATTTATATTGTTAATAAAAGAAGTAAGAAATAATTAAAGGAAAAACAATTTCGAGATAAAAAATGTAGGTTATAGCTGCTATAACGGGGAGTCTTGTGAAATGCAACCTGCAACATACACCTGCTATGTTGCCAAAATATAATCTAGATTTATCAGTCTCTATTTTCTATTAACTTAAAATAATTGTAATTATAACGTTTTTCTCTAAGTCGATGTCATATTATTATGTGTGGTCTCCGTCTTAACAGTATACATTTTACGTTCAGTTAGTGTAATATCAATTTTAACTCTATGCACCTAGTATCTTATAGTGAATTGGCGTATCCTCAGATTTAAATGTTAGAAAATAGAATGTATCTACAGTCCCGCGCTTATTTTTTCGATGTTTGAATTTTGAACTTAGTTATGATAATTTCATAATTTATATAAAAATTTACAATTTTAAAATGCGTTATGCATCAAGTTGGACAACTTGCTATGCTAGTTTCGACGTCCTCTTAACGTTGTATCATTTTTTTTTGACCTTCAATATTGTAATAATTTGAAGTTATTTTTATTATAGTTTCATAACGATATCCAAGTCGGCATGATCTTTCGAAAGAACGAATTCTAAAATGTACAACATTGTGATTTTTTCCTCTACGTTATAAACCAGTAGGTACCTACATTTTATTATGTATAAATAGTATCATCATATTAATAACATTTTAATGTGAGGCATAAGTCATTCCCATTACTCATTTGTCACCGTCAAACTTTATATTTTATTATTATCATTATTATTATTATTGATATTTTTGTTATTATTATTAGGTAGATAATATTTGTAATTTGTATAATATAGTGATAAGTTATTATACAATTTTTATTCATTTTTTTGGTTGACCATTTTTTATTGCAATAAATTATGATATTCATTTATTTGATCGAATCATAAGGGGATAAATTAAAACATGATCTTTTATGGAAAAACAGAAAATCTACAATCTATTATACCTACATCATTACTAGATAATTAACAATTCAGATTACGTATAAATTCAAATCTAAATATTGAATTATTCATAAATGCACGTGGTGATGATTTAATTGAATACGTTCCAATCTTAACAGCTCTATGATCACATTCTCTAACAGGCTGATTAAAACTATAGCAGCTGTTACTATTCATTTTTTCCATTCATAATATTTGTACTTTGTAGGTTCACTTCTCTAAACAGTCATCACGTATTCACGTGTATAGTCAAAATTCAAAACGAATCAAACAATTACCAATTTCGTATATTATAAGATTATACTTAAATCGAATCGCTGTCACTTTACCGTCCTTAAATGTTTGTAAATATATAAATATACATGTAGAATTCATATGCGTGGTCTATAAAAGATAAATATTTCCTTTTTTTCTCTCGAAAATTGGAGGTTTTTGTCCTGGATTTTTAACAAATATTTGTGTGAACGATCTACTCCAATGATTAAGGTAGCTACATGTTTGTTTACTTTAGTAAAAGCTTTATTACATAACCGAATAAAGAGGTTGTAAAATTTATTCTTAGATGTCTATATTTATACTATTTCTCATATATTCTCATGTATTACTGTAAAGTATTTTACTGTTAAAGGGACTTAGATCAATTCTATTCGGTCCTTTACGTGTGATTTGCTTTTATAGCCAAATAAATAAATTAAAGTAGGTTTTTTTTTAATCTTCTGTAATGTATGTGAATATACGATTGATTTTTTGAAATCGAATTTAGATAATATTTCACTGAGTGAAACTTAAAAGACTTTCTGTACTTTTGATAATATTAAAGTGAGAATAATATGCGGTTCAGTCATATTTGTATGTAATATAGATAAACCTACATGGAAATTGCCAAAAGCCGGAAATCGAGTTTTATATGCAATGAGTAACATACAATAACCATAAAAAAACTCAAATTTCTATAGAGAATCTCAATATCTACTGATGGTCTTTCCTCACACTTCGTCATCCGGTTATATTGTGGTTTTTGTGAAAATACTTATTTTCAAAATCCTCTAAAAATACTCTTAGTAAATCTATTTTTTATCTCTACACCTGTACCCTTTGCTCGTATAAGACGCCTTTCTGAAATACCACAACTGCATACCTAATATTCTCTCAACAATTTGTTCTAAATATTATTCTGGAAAAAGTTATCTGTTCTATATATTGCCAAAAAATGTTTTATTATAGATAAGTTTTCTAAATATTCGTTTTAGAGAACTATCAAGACTTTTTCTGCATCTTATTAAAATTTGTTATGATTTAAAAAAAAAAAAACGTTATTACAAATTGTTATCAACAAAACCCTTAAACAGTATTTTAACTATATTTTAGTTAGTTCCTAAAACATACCATTAGTATAATTATAGGTACTCAAGATATAAATAAAATTGTATTTTAAATGTTAGTTAGGTAGTTATGTAATATTATTTTTATTATTTTATTTGATAAATTTAAATAACTAATCTTTATGTCTCTTATATGAGAATAAAAATTTTGGTTTAAAAACTTAGTTTTCAATACATTTTCTTTCATTTCATGTATATTTTGAATTGACATAGTATATGCTTTGAAAAAGTTAATGTTCAAGTTATGTGAAATTTTCTAGAAGTCAAAGTAATAACATTTCAGTTACTTATAGAGTGTAAATATTGTGCATTTAATAAAAACTATTAAATCGATAATCAACCGCTAAATGCCAATATTATGAGCATAACCATTCCAAGGACATCATCGTTGCCCGTTGTGTACTATCTACGCTTAGTCAGATGATAATTAAAAATATCATTCTATAAATTGTTTAGGTCTACGTTAAAATCTCCTTTTTATACAGGCTGCTGTAATTTAGGGATATTCTGGTCCCATATTGAAGGAATAATGCGTCCCGTACAAATTCTCACAGTGCAGTTTAACGTATGTTATATTTATATATTATACACCTACCTAAGTTTAATGGTTATAGCCTTATAGGTGATCAAAATAATAATGAATAATGATGATAATGATAATAATAATAATAAATATTAATATACTATAGAAATATTAATAACAGTATTAGTGTATTGCG